CTCGGTTTAATTATTTGGAAACATGGGGAAGGAGTACGAGCTGCTGTATTATGAAAGGGTGGAAAATAAAGGCTGGTACACAGAAACTATTCATGTACTTTACAATCTCTTCGCCTGCCGAGTTAAGTGACGCGTCAATCCAAATGATATCATACTTCACATCACCCATTAGATGATATTATCAATTTTTGGAGTGCGCATCAAGTATCTCCTTAGGTCGCCATTGTTATTACCAGTACACATTTGATACCTACTGATACCTATTGGCCACAGCGATATACACCTACTATTTATGATGTCATCAATCTAGTGTGAGCGCGCCATCTCCACCGAAGAACAGTAGAGTCATGTAATTGCTATACACCTCTCAGCTTATAAACAGAACAATTATGAGCATGAAACCTTACTGTAAAAATAGACCACAGAGTTCTATGTTTCTAAGAATTTGGCGATCAGTGGCAGCTTCAATAATGCAACGAAGAGATCCAGTTTATTTTGCATAGACTGGTTGAAAATACACTTGTCTTAAACGTAATGCTGATCTTAGAAAACTTTCAGAAGCGCTGGCTTTATCGGCAAAGCTCAATGGCTTGTATTCGCCAAGTTTTTGAGCCCTGACATGCTCGAAGATTCCTTAATTTTTGCCATTTTGAAGTCTTATTTATCTTAAAACAAATATTGTTTTCTTGTCATTCTTTATCCACGAAATCTTGCATTATCGTTTTTGAGATTTTCGAAAAAAAGTTGTCAATTTCAAGGTGTGTTCGCTTGTTACAGTTACATTAGCAATGATAAAGCTCGCTTCTACTTTCACTGTTATTCTTAGATTTCTCAAGGCCAGAGCCTTATCGATCTATCGACGCAATCGTGTCATCTCTGAATTTTTCTTGAATTTATTTTCTCGAGCTTCACTGATAAGATAGATAATTGGGGTGTACTAGCTAATTTCCGTGTTGGTTCATATTTTTAGTTGTTGTCCCGCTGCCCAGCCGGAAGATCCCTTTTAATCCTGTGACTAATATTCTTGGATTCTACATTTGGCATCTCTGAGATGAGGAATGAAAAGTTTTTGAATGACTTCTGAAAATGTTTAAGGTAATTTTTAAAATTGTGATTTCGAGATATCAACCGGACGTAGCTTTAAGTGGAAAATTTTTCACCAAAGTGCTTGAATCCTCATACTAATGCTTGAGCTTTGCCCACAAATCTTTTGTATCTCTCTCATTTGAGACAGTGGACATTCGGCCTAGTCAGAGATTCAACTCAATTAATTGCCTCACTTTGGCCTCCTGACTCACCCATGCTTTCTAAAATTTTCATAACTGCTACTTGTTGGCCTAGTGGTACTCAGTAATAAATCTAATAACCTTTAAAGGTCTATTTGGAGCATCTGGAAGGTGGTAATGATGAAGACCAAATTTACCAGTGATGTGTTCGGTTTTCCCAACCCGCTTTTTATTGTCCTCTTCGTCCTCAAGATTCTACTGTTGAACTGGAATGAGATTCTGAACCGGAACTGAAGAATCTCTAATTTTTAACAGGTTAACTCAATATTGGTGGTCATGTGATGAATAGATCATTCTTCGAGATTTTCCTGACTGTCGAATTCGTCATCTGTAGATTTGACGAGCGTGTAGAGGAGCATAATCGAGGAGAAGAGGAGATTAAATGAAGGAGAGATGATATTCTTAACATCTGGAAAAATGCAGTGGGGTATCCATGACCAACATGCTAGACAAAATCTCTACCCATGCGCATACCAAGATCTTAGTCCCACACAATCTTTTATGCTCATTCTAAACATTATCTTATCCTGCCCCTATGAATTATGCACTCAGCCCTAGTCCGTGAGTTCTCCACAGAGCGAAGTTTGTTTTTCCAGATCAGAGTTTAATTGTATGTGCATCTATCTTGCTATGACACAATATCAGAGATAGATTACACATTAATGACCCAATTTAAAAATAGAGCGCTCATGCCACGGACTTCTTTTGTAAGCAAAAAGAAGCTCTAAACTCTCTGGTTATCCATGACTGCCTCCATCTTGTACGCACTTGAGTATTGCCAGAAGTGTATTCGGGCCTTGCTGAGATTGAACCAGCGATTTCCTACCTCAAATGGGATAGGCGTCAAAGCTATCCAGACTCTATTTAATCGTCCTCTTAGGATGACAAAATGCTGTTCCTACTGACCACATCCGTGATACAGTGTCGCCCTCACTCCAGTATCGAGATCTTGACGTGCAACAAGCTTTTCGACGTGAAAATTAAATTTGGAATAATCCAAGTGAAGACGCTTTTGACATCGTAATCATCCCTAGCAGTGTCTTGTCTAATATATAGATTAGTAACTTCCATCTCAAAGATCTACTTTATTAGAGCCTTGTGTCACTATTCATGTGATGCGGATACTAATAACGTCGTGGGCGTGTCCCTCAGCATCAGCCGAGGATAGAGTCTGAAACAATGAGAAGTGTGTTCATTGAGACGATGATATACTGGATCATACCTACATACTCCACAAGGCTTTAGTTTAATCTACCTACTAACTCTTAAATCATTATCCCGTGGGCCAACTTGCCTACAAATTTTGATTGAGCGCCCTTCGAGAAAAAGTGAATCTCATACTCGGAGACACTGCTGACACATGTGGGGCAGTTTATTAAGTCACTGAAACTCATAATCTCAAATCGAGGCGGCATTCATTTCTCAGACGCAAAATACAACTCTAATTTTTGTGGAAAATGTCTGAATATCTCTCTGCAGTATTCTTTTCCGAGCCTGGGAGTGAAGGAATCCCCTCAGAGCCTGTATTAGTTCACTGTACATGGTATATCTGAGACCTGATGAGATGACATCTGAGAGGAGCGGCATGGGAAAGCTTTAAGTCAAGAACCCGACTTGCGGAAATTTTAAACTGTGCAAGGTATCGAAGTCAGTAATCTAGATCCCAAACGCGAACAACAGGTAGGCTCAACATTGTCTGATGCTTATGGTGTAACAGCTGATATTCCTTACCACATTGTTTTTTCCTGAAATATCCTTCTCAGTCAAACTCATATCATGAATCACTCCACAAGTATCTCTTCGACTACTGATGCCATCCGCAATTCAAAAGTGACACTTGCAACATTAGATGCAAAAAGACGTCCAACATTCCGCAACTGCCACGCGATGTGAAGGTCCAGTCGAGGGACCAGCCTCAAATGCGTCTATACCTTGGCCAGAGTCGACATTAACTCGAATTGCAACAAATCACCAGCGGAGAAAAAGATACTAAATTATGCTTGTATATCGACCAGAGACTCGAGGAAGGCTGGGTCACATGTGGCTCGGTCTTGAGCTCTTTTGCGTGTATTTAGCCTCTGTAGTTAGGGATACGGCAGAAATAGGATGAGGTCGCCAACCAAGACAGTCTCTCACGGCTCTCAGTTGGAGAACAAAATGGATAAACTAAAGTGAACAGACAGTAGAGGAAGAAAAGAAATATAGCGAATGAGGCCGGGTTGGGCAATCTATCAGGGTCTCAATGAAGAAACGGCCCTTGGATGATATAAATAGATTCTGAAGCACGGTTGTGCTGGGTCTGAACGAAAGGGGAATTTCTAGAAGCGGGAAGGTAGCCGAAACTGAAAGAATCTGCGTTTCGTCGCGTTAAGATTAGGCTCTCCTGATGGTCGGACTTGGCATGATTCACCACATGGGTGGAATCTGATGTAGTAAGAGATTCTCGTAGCTTAAGATAGTTGACCTAAGCAAGCTCAAGCTCCAATAAGAGCGCGTAGGCCGACAGTTGCCTATCACGTTTTTTGCAACAGACTTAATTGCTCATGCAGCTATCTAGCTATAACACATTTACAGATAAGACTACAGAATAGATGATTCAATTTAAAGGTAGGGCATTTGTGTTTCCGATTTCATTTGCAAGCACCACTGCGAAGAAATTGTGGCTTTTTCTTCACCGCAAGTCAGCCCTCATCCGTGACTAATCACCCAGGGAAACGTCTCAAAAACTCCAAGTCAGCAGATATGCCTCCATCATCCATTGACTTGTCTCCATGCGAAATGTAATCTGAAACTTCTCCTTCGGAAGTGGAGTAGGTGCCCAGGCTACTCATACCATATCCCGGAGATCGCCTCTAGAAGACGGACCATGGTACCTTCCATCGTAAGCTTGTGTTGATAGTATCAACTGCACTCTGGCCAGCACGTTAATATTTCTCAAGTAAATATGCCTAGACCAACTAGAACCATCGAATTTCGTCTCAATATTTTCTCGTACGCAAAGCTCTCGGCCAACATGGGTCGATTAGCACTAATATTTACATAGATTTCATGAGTTTATCAGGGTCTGGCCTCGATAATATGAGCCAGAAGTAGGATAAAGATGGAATGACTTTAAGATTGTAAGACAAGAGTGAGAAGCGAATAGGATGGTCAAAGGCTTTTAAGAGTAGCGATAAGCGACGAATCTTGTTCATTCAACTCACGATACCAGTCTTACATTTGAACAAATCACGTCACCTGTGGATTAGGGGCCTTTTTTGCATGCAAGGATCAGATGATGGAGACAAACTGCCCTTTTATTATTTTGTGTTCTTTTCACCCCCATCTATGGTCTACTCGCTCCAAAGAAAAATTCCTCTGAGAGTGAACGAATACTTGACTCCCCATTCTACCTACTTCCCATCACTACCCGAAAAAAATCGTATGGATAACAAGAAGGTGCATATACAGTGTCTTATCCTGACATCAGGTGAGTCTATTTTTATCATTAAGCCGATTTTAGATAGGCAAGATTATGTTTCGAAGGCTTACTGCCCGAACGAATATAAGGATTGGTGATACAGGTTAAGTCGAGAGAGCCATATTTGAAACTCGAATCTCCAAGTAGAGCAGCAAGTAATGTGATATATGAGAATAGAAATCGTTAGTGGTATCATTAACAGTGAGGAAAACGCGAATGATTGTTTAAACTTTTAATCGTGAAACCGTAAGCTTTCATTTCGATGATTGAGGCGTCGAGACTTCGCTATTAGCGACCATATCAGATACTCGGACCTTTTTTACTCGAGGTTCTCCCTCTTTAATACTGGCGAGCTCTCGTTCAACGTCGTCGAGGCGATGTTTTAGTTGGTTCTCGCGCCGTTGTGATTCTTCTAAACGCCTGTGCAAGTCATTATTTGTCTCTATGCGTATTTCTTCACCCCTTCGAGCGTTGCTTTCGTCTTGCTCGAGTTGAGCAACTCGACCTCGAAAAAGTTCATTGATTACTTCTAGCTCGCTAACACGTGTTTTGAGAGAAGAGTTCTGGGCTATGAGTTGTTCGTATGTCTGGGGTAATTCAAGCGAATTTGTGTTGAGTGGAGGAGTTGATTGACCAGGGGAGGGCTGGCATAACTGCGATGGTGAATGATGAGCGTAAGGATCGTCTAGCGGATGGCCACCGAAAGCTGAGAGATGGCTTCCGAACACAGATGGGGTACTATGCCGAGATATTGGGGAGTTTGAGCCATCAGAGTGAGTGTTCATGGATTTCTGGGAGGGTCTTCGATGTCCCAAGGGAGTCTCTGTATGGGGTCGTACTTGGTCGAGTGTAGTGGTGTTATAGGACATCTGAGAATCACAAAATTAATATACAGATAAGGTTTAGGAGTCGCTCACAGTGAACGTACCTTCTTTTTTGACCCAACACTAGAAGAAGAGCTTTTGACGCGATTACGACTCTTGATAACGTCAGTCTTAAGACTGATGGGCCGCGGACGGCCATGCAGCTTGAGGAACAAGCCACAGGCGTTACATAAAACGGATCCAACTTCATCGCGTCGCCATAACGGTGTCGTTGAGGTTTGACAGTTCATACAAGTTGGCTGTGAAGAATTGTGGTCAGCTAAGGTTGCCATTTGTTTTAACAATATTCTTCAAAAATGCTATCGGAGGTCTCGATTGCGCGATAAGAATCGAATTTTGGGGTGGAAATTTCGGCTAGTGCGAGGATGAGTGAGACCAGGGTGTTTGATTGGAGGAAAGTCCAAACAAGAAGCCCATTCAATATTTTCCAGCACTCAATTTACCCCACAAAAACATAGTTCCATGCTTGCACTAACTCAAAATTATTATCAAAGAAATAGACGCTCATCCTTTCAGCGATGCTATTAACGTGGAATATCAAGATTTTAGTCGCGAAATATGTGCGTATTGTGATGAAAATTTCTATGACTGGAGTTCGACGTACCGATGAATTGCTTAGACCACCACCCCCATTCATAGCCGGGGGCGAAGATGTTGAGAAACCCAATCCAGCTGATCCAAAACTGAAGGCCCTAGGAAATTGCAAACGTCAGCATTGAGGAATGTTTATGATTTTTGCGCCCGTCAAAGAACACGTAGCGCCTCAGTACCATAGCTCGGGCCCAAATATATTGAGGAATCGTAAAAAGACTTGAGCTTCTCTAATCAATCTGTTTACATTGCACCAAGCCTGCAATCATCCTAAACAACCTATAACCTAAACTTCGACTTTCCACATCTGGCCAGTATAAAGCTGAGGCAAATGAAGAAGTGTGAGAACCTGGGTCCAAGCTAACTCTTGGAATAATGAACTCAAACTAAAGGACCAGCCTCTAAATCGCAACTTACCTTGGTTGTGGAGGAGTGGCTGCTGGTGTGAAGGAGGTTAAGGTTGAAATTGCCGGCAGGTGTGGAAAAGATGCGCAGAAGTGTAGATTGGATTTTGAACTCGAGTTTAGAGAAGTCTGAGAGAGCGAATCCATTGCTGGAAGAGAATAACGTCCGTGGTCATGAAGACTTGCCATCTTGAATGGGGGAAGGTCGAAATGCATTAGACAAACGCGTCGAGGCCCTGAAAGATCGGATATGTGCCGTAATTGTAAACGCTTGACGTGACACTTTGAAGATGTGGTAAAAAGATTCGAGCTGGTGAATAGTGAGGGAAGTGCCGACTCTTACAAGTAAAATGTCGACACTGGCGGAGCATGGATGGCGCGGGGGGGGGGAATAATGAAGTCTGGAGGAAAAATCGGGGATGATGGGTAAATGTGGGACTAACGCAAGGGAAATGAGGACTCAGGGAATAATTAGGTGACAGAAAATATGACACTCTGTATTACCGGACATACACTGCTTGGGCGAGGATGGTAGAAGTAAATGTTGGAGTAGGGGAGCTGTTAGTGGTAGGTAGGCTGTTAGCTGTATTAATAGCCCCTTATCCCTTATCTTCAGGTATCATATATGAACGAATATGTAGATTAATCGGGTAAATAACTATATATAGTCGCGTGTGGATGACATTCTATCGGCGCGCACACACTTACCGATGTACATGCACATAAGCTCTATGAATCATTTTATCCATACACCTTTCTACTTGCATACACAGAAGCGCCATCTCAGCGCAACAATAGTCTAAAATCTCTCCATCTTAATTTGTGGTCAGATCTATGGCTTAACAAACTTTTATCTTGCTAGGTTGGTAAAAAGTTATCTCGTCACAATCCCCTCACTTCCATCCCCAAAAACACACATCTGCACCCCGTGTAATCCACCATCTTAATAATGCAATAGTCACTTAGAACTCAATTTCTATTGACCAAAAGCTAAATCGACCCCTTCGACCCTCTTGTATTGAGCAAGGGGTTTTCCCAACATGCTAATGAGCCAAGTCTTTCAACCTAACTTGGAGGCCCCAGGCGAGCTCATTTTGATCAATCTTTTCATACTATTGAAGCGTGATAATAGCCTGTCGATTTAGTAACTGGCCTCCTAGACAAATGACAACTAACTACCCTATAGCCACTCATATCATATAAGCTTACGAGTCCATTTCGTAGAACACATACAGTTTCTCTTTGAACATGGCTCAGGTATTAGGCTATCTCAGTGAATATCCATACCAGCAGTGATTAATGGCTAAAGTATACAGCAATAGTAGAGGACCATATACCGGGATGTGAAGGAAAGGTGCAGTAAAAGGATGAAAACTACTATCGGAGGCAATGCTGGAAAGCGCTGAGGCAGGTGAGAAGAAATAACGTTTACCAATCTCCCGCACTGCTGGCCCTTGAGATATTTTGGCGGGGTATGATGCTGAAAGATCGAATCCAGATCCTGTACAGTGCTTAGAGTTAACTGACAGTTGTGGGCACTGATAGTCAAAGTCATCCATATCCTGTACTAACCAATGATCTCATCTGCTTGTAGAATGAGGAGCTCGTGAACGTGGAAGCGAAAAGAGTCTGCAAGTATAGAACGGAGATCTATCCTAAATCAGGTATTCATTAACTACTACTGATGGCAAACTGTCATCAGGACTCAGGTCGCTAAAAAGAGCGTACATAGATACGTAAGCGCTAAAAGTGATGTGTGGAGTTGTGCAGCAAGCAACACACGAGATGAGAATCCGTGGGTGGGTAACGAGCCTGACAAGCTTGAGAAAAATGACCGTAGTCGAGTTGAGTCCGCATAAGACGTTGAGCGTTAGGAAGCAGCTTAATACGAGCTCTTTTACCGCCAATCTGATCGTTCCGACCAATAGGTTCATCATGGACGGTTGCCCTGTAGAATAATTCATCCGGTCACGCACAGATCAAATCTCCGTACTGCGTCTCCTTTGGCCGTTTGAGCTCTAATTATCACGTGACATATCCCCTCTATTTGTCTCAATGAATTCATGAGGTGTAGAATGGTTAATTCATCAAGGCTTCAACCGGCGAATATAATTAAATCCACCTTTGGATATTCATGCCGTGGAATGTGTTCGCTGGTACCATTCCAGGGTTGCTCGTTGGGAACTTGAACCCCTTCCGTTAACCGTGAATCCCCACCCATGGGAAATTTAATCAAAAAACCTTGGATTGCCCTAGTATGTATTCATCATCTTAAACCGACAGTCAATGCGTGAAGTGTCATTGGTAGAGTCTTGTATAACTAAGGCTAGCATTGGCTAGATCTATGGAAGGGAAGTGACATCCAGACCTCTTTGTCAAATCTCCACGAAAGATTTTGGACAGGTTGACATCCATACTATCCATGCCAGCCGTTCCATGTTATATCGACTGCACTTTTGCTGACACTGGGAGCCTTCATTTGCACCAGGCTCCTCAACTTTCAACTTCCATGCTCTTGGTATGATACTCTTACTCATCCCGTAAACTTGTTATTTCTGCAGTAAGCCCGCCAGATTCCATGCCACATATTTAACCCACGTGATTTATGTAATATCATGAATATCTTCAGAATTGTGGATAAATATCTGGCTGTCATTCAAGATTGAAACATGCATTGGTTAGACTAGATTGTAACCGTATATGATTGTATGAACTCTTGCTAACACGTAGGTGAGATAAATTCCTTGTAGGCACAGATTTATATTGCGTGTAAGCGACTAGTCCATCGCAGAGTTCGCAGGTCCATTGCTGGAAGTGCAGACTTCGTGTGTTGTATTACCCAGCGCTAGAATTTTGAGCCAAGATGCGCATCGTATCAAACTGTAATTAGTGATGTACCATTGACACAAATCTCATGCTTTATGCCGTAGCTCACTTAATGGATAGTAGAGTTCGTGGTTTTGGATACCGAGCTAGTCCCCAACTTGTGCAACTCATGCCTCGAGAAGGCCTTGGGGAAAGTGAGATGAGCGAACTCCTCACCCTATTGACCTGAGTCCAGCTAATGTCAGGGTTTGTCTCAGGGGTACAAGGGTTTGATGAGAGACAGAGAAGCGCGAACCGCGGTGTGTTTAACTGGTAATGTCTCGGAGAAAAGATAGCTCGCCGTAGCTCTCTAACTCAGATGAAAAGAAGTGTCTAGACGGCGCGGTGGCCATCGAAGCTTTAAGTTCCCAATTCAGATGGACATCGCAAAGTATTCAATATGTTCATACGGAGCCCACTTGCCGTCATGGGTATGGACGCAATTTTCCAAGGAAATGAGAAAAAGAAAGGTCTCTGTACATCAGTGACTGCATGACTGACGGGTATGGACCATAATGGGACGGAGCTTAATCGAATAAAGTTCGTCTTCCGATTTCGTCTATCTGTCTGAGTTTTTCTACAGGGATATTCATGCTAGTGTAGCTATGGGTCATTTATTTACCGATCCGGCTCGGCTGGTCCGGTCCTCCCTGCCCCACATGCGACGATAGATGTCTCGTCTTAGAGGGTCCTTTGTGAAGAGGCTGACCATATGGCCCTTGTCTAGCTGTAAGATAGCTGCATTTTACTCATGTATTTGGGCAGCTCGGAGATAATTATGTCTCGCGCCTGCACAGGCTACCTCTATTCCCGATCATGACTGGTGCAGCGGAGAGTACGTATCTCCTGAAGACAAGTATGCGTCGCAAAAATAGAGCGGATCAATTGAATAGCTGATTATCACAATTCTTGAAATGTGACTTTTCATTCCCTTAATTATCTAGTGTATTTAGTTTGAAGTGAAGGTTAGTAGAAGTACACCAAACATTACTCTTAATCACTGAGTACTGGGCCTTCCTCACAAAGACAACTGGAATCACTAATCAGAGTTCCATGTTTTATCTGGTTCAATCAGAAAAAGAATGAAACGGTTGCAAAGGTTCGTCTCGAGTTAAACGGTCTCGGGAATAAGAGATTCACCTGATTTAGATCACAGATCCCTTCCTCTTTCAGGATAAATCTCTGCACTATTCCTACCCCTTAGCCATGTAGGCAAAATTTTTAGCTATCACACTATGAGCGTTATCAACAGCAGTCTTAGCCGGCAAAGACGAATTCTTTACCTTCCAGTGGTCCCGGTGTAATCGCTCAGTATGCTCTGCATATCTGGGATAGCCAAGAGAAATCGCACCCGAATCGAAGTCGAAAGCAACCTATAGCGTATCTAAAATCGACGACTTTTCGACAAACGTTGGACCTATCATTCTCACGCAAGTCCTATTTTTCAATCTTACCACACTATTTCGCCTCAACTACCGATAAATGCGTTGCTACAATTGCAATCGGGCATTCGCCTCATCAAAAATCGACCATCTCCCGCTATAAAGTTACGACGCTACGTATACCCGCGAGGAAGAAATTAAGTCATAAACTGCAAAGCTCGGGTCTTGGTCTATGGGGGATCTTTGCTCTAATGGGGCTTCAAATTTTGAGGGATGACAGGCAGCTGGGACGTGGGACGAACGAGTGAAGAGGTCACAAATGGGCATGTTGAGACTCAATTTTTGAGTGTTTTTGACTGAAAGGTGTCTGTGGGCGCACGGGCAATGATGGAAGGTGTTGCATTCCGCCTCCTAGTAGTCATCTACTCGAACTAAAGTCTGGGTAACCTGGACACCTACCTCACTCGTGAAAGGAAGGACTGTGAGGCCATATCTCGCACGGCGGCTATATACAAGCTGACAAAGTCACGTCAGGGTAGCCAAATGTTTTTCCTGTTTTGCCTTTGGTGGATATTCACGATTGAGAAAAGGTAAGAGTCCCCAGTACAAAGGTCTCGAGTAGTATCAATGAATGCACCCACTACATGAGTTTTCCAAATGTCAAACTGAGTTACTGTCATATATAGTCGTCGAGGAAGGACTGGCCTGCTCCTTGTCATTCTCTATGACTGCTAGGCCTGTGCCCGTCACGAAAGCATATCCGTTCATACAACTGCAGTCTTCGTTGGATTTTATCGTACCAATTATTGAATTGACCTAACCTAAATCCTCTTAGAAATTAGTCATGCGATGAATGAATGCTTTTGCCTAGTACTTTAAAGGCCGGGAGGATGAACACTCGACACTTATCAGCCCTGTCTCCTCTGAATCTCCAGCTCTCACCGAAGAGTCTACAAAATAGAATAGAATATAATTTTATTTATGTCCCTACTGAGTCTATGACTATGAAGGACAGCTAAAACTATATAAAAAGTTTAAAAGTTAATAGTAAATTTGGACATTTTTGCACTTAATAATTGCCAATAGATGATGAGGGTCATGCCCTATTAAGAGTCTATAGAGCCGAGGTTGGATAACACTTTCGCCCTCGCTTCGATTAGGATTCCCAATCGCTTTTGCCGTATGTCTCTTCTTCATCACTTTGCAAGAATTCTTTGCATAATTATAGTCTGTTGTGTTATCGATGTAGCTTACCATGGTACATGCTTTAGGTGGCGTCATAGCATGTGCACGTGACTGTGTAACTAAACTGTGGGGTGTTTAGTGTGTAATGCATGTATGAGTATACTGGACCAAACTAGAACTCGATGGAATAGAGATAATGGAATCAGTGAGAGACGGATAGACTGAGAGAGAACGAGCTAGTCATTTCTCGCAGGAGAGAAATGATATCATAAGAGAATGTTCTAGCACTAGGCTGTGAACAACACAGTAAGTCTGGAGCAAGATATAAGGAGGTCTCAACCTCCATTCATTAATTGTAGCTAAGCTTCCTCTACACGAGAATATAGAGTCAAGTCTTACATATCACGAGAACACACGCGTCAGCGACTATAGAGACCTACTATGAGCATAACTTCCCCACGAGTATCCATCGTCCTGCTCCCATATAGCCTAGTTAATATAACATAGTCCTTCACAGTCATAGACTCAGTAGGGACTTAAATTTAATTCTATTCTATTCTATTTGCCTATTTATCATGAAGCTAACTTCGACAAAATCCGATGTTAAGGTCGAAGCCCTATCTATCATCCACCCAATTTTCTTATTCACAAAAGAGAAACTATCTGATAAATTTCCGGAGCATACCTAGCTCCTTTCAAGGTTGTGGTGAATTAGATGGGGTTGACTTTTTTTGTTATTAGGCATGGAGATATGGATAGATCCACGAGTCTTGTGTAGCTAGGGCTACTGATTTTTTGAGAATTATTCCCGCGCGTGCAGTTTCTGTCGAAAGATTTTTTTTTGGGGGGGGGGGGGGGGGGGCGTCAGTAGAGTAGTTTGCTGAGTTACACGGGTAATTGTTAAGCTGACTGGTTATCAATTGTGGGCATTGCATCAGAAAACTCGTTTATAGCACAAGAAACGTGAGTCCTGTATCAGGTGTGGCCTGAGTTAGAGAAGAGCTCGTCGCGCTACATAGACTTTGACTCAAACAGCATAAATTAAACCAAACTAAACTACTGAAAAGCAAACTTCGGGTCTAAATATTGTATTCGCCGAGCGGAGAACCAAAGAAAACCATTAGACTAAGCGGCCAATTTAGTCAGTCGACTCAGGTCACCTTCGACACGCTATTCAGGTTCCCTTCTGTCCCAAATTCAAATTTCTCATATACGGTAACCTATACAGCAACCAGCACAACTGTATTCCATTATCCACGTAAGCCCTGGTTGCAGGTAGATGCAAAATGCCTTCTACTCACAAAAAAGACAAGCCTTGGGATACTGAAGATATTGATAAGTGGAAGGTCTCTAAAAAATACTGTCTAAATTTTAAACCCATCTGACATAATCTTAGATCGACCAATTTACTCCTGCGGACAACTTAGGCGGCACGTTTGCAGAGGAATCGTCTTTTGCCACGCTCTTTCCTAAATACCGCGAAGTTTATCTTCGGGAATCATGGCCGCTAATAACTCGCTCCCTTGAGAAGTATGGAATAGGATGCCAACTAGATCTTGTTGAGGGTTCCATGACGGTAAAAACAACCCGGAAAACCTACGATCCTGCCGCTATTCTCAACGCGCGAGATCTGATTAAATTGTTAGCCCGCAGTGTTCCCGCACCTCAAGCCATCAAAATCCTTGACGATGGAGTCGCATGTGATATAATTAAGATACGAAATCTAATAAGGAATAAAGAGAGATTCGTAAAAAGGCGGCAGCGCATTCTTGGGCCTAATGGGACTACACTAAAAGCACTGGAGCTTCTCACTGAATGTTATATTCTTGTTCAAGGAAATACAGTTGCAGCAATGGGGCCATACAAGGGCCTAAAAGAGATACGTCGCATAGTTGAAGATTGCATGGCAAATATTCATCCAATTTACCATATTAAGGAGCTTATGATCAAGCGAGAGTTACAAAAAGATCCAGACTTAGCCAACGAGAGCTGGGATCGATTTTTGCCGCATTTTAAGAAGCGCAATTTAAGTAAACGAAGAGTTCCATACAAGGTAGTTGACAAAAGCAACAAGACATACACACCATTCCCACCGCCACAGGAAAAGAGCAAAATAGATTTGCAAATCGAGACCGGAGAATACTTTTTGGGAAAACAGGCCAAGGAACGTATGGCTAGGGAAGAGAGACAGGAAAAACAGCACGAAAAGAAAAAAGCCAAGTTGCAAGAGAGAGCTCAAGAGTTCGTGCCGTTGGAAGAAGATGAAGAGAAAAATGAAAAGCGGAAGCGCAAACGCGAAAAAAGTGCCGGAGATGATGGGATCAAGAAAGAGAAGAAAGAGAAGAAAAAGAAGGCCGAGTTGCAAGAGAGAGCACCAGAGTCTATGCCACTGAGAGAAGATGAAGAGGAAAAAGAAAAGCGGAAGCGCAAACGTGAAAAAAGTACTGGAGATGATGGGATTAAGAAAGAGAAGAAAAAGAAGAAGGCCTATCATTCCGAGGGAGATCCTGAGTAATTTGTTGGCATTAGCTTTGTCTTGTACATTAGCGATGGCGTTTATGAAGTAGCTCTCATACTCCGGCAACACTTCCTTTGTTTAGTTGAACTTGATGCATATCTGACCTAGCTCTCAGACCAATTACTATACCAATGTCACGGCTTAATAATATAGGTCAAATAAGCCACGAACTGTCACATTTTCTCCCCTCTTGGTAAAGAAGAGTAAACAATCAGTCAGTTTTTGCTTTTCTTACAGCATCAATTTATTTTTCGCACAGAACCAAACTCACAAATTTTTTTTGATTCGCAACTTTTTAACGTGCCATAGCCTACCTAATATCGATAATTGTATTCAGCAAATCGGGGTCTACTGTGTGCCTTGAAACCAAAGCATAGAGAGCTATCTGGTTCTGGAGATATGCGTCTCCGAGAGGCAGTTCTCCAAATATAATTTGGACTTGCTAACCTCAAACCTAGCTCCGTACTTTATGAAATCCTACTCTTAACCTGCCTTGGTCGTCACATCTAGTGCAAGAGATGATATGTTTTTAGCGCTGAGCGTCAATGATTTCTATGGGGAAAAATAGAACTAACCTTGATTAGCGTGTATACACATATATATAAGAGCTCCGAGGGGTGAGTTTTGTTCATTCTGAGTTCAGATGTGCTCGCCTTAGAGGGCTTCGGCTCTCTTAATGTTTATCAGGATACTCAGGTTCTGGTTAGACGAGATTTTTAACATGGGCCTTACGTCGGGCTTTGAGGATAGAACTAGACCCTCCGTGTCAATTGAAAAAGAAATAAAGTCAGCAGCGACATGGTTTTTTTCAAGGAGTTTTTCATTTTTCCCATCAGATGTTAATTGCGTATGCAGTTGTCTAGCTATGAAACATTATCAGAGGAAGAGTACAGAACAGGTGACTTAATTTAAAAGAGCATTCATGCCTCGGATTTTATTTTCAAGCACCACTGTTAAGTTATGGCGGCTTTTTCGCCCCAAGTCAACCCTCATCCGTGAATACCCACCCAGGGAAACGTCTCAAACACCCTGAGTTAACCAGACATGCCTCCATCATCCATTGAATTGTCTCCGCGAAATATGTGATCTGAGGATTCTCCTTCACAAGTGTAATAGGTGCCCAAGCTAATCAAACTATATCGGAGACAACTACCAGGAGCTAGACAACGACACCTTCCGTCGCTGACTTGCGTTTAAAGTGTCAGCTGTACTCTCGCAATCGAAGTCTTGGCGCCCACAATGCTCTTCAATTTGAAAATCTCCCTGTCAAAATTCCAAATCTCATACCCGTAGAGATTATATCCTTCTTCTGCCTGATCTTGTAAACTTGTCCCGAATTTTCTTATGCCCATCCCAGAGGACTGCCTCCCAAACTTGTAGGCTACAGTTATTTTCCTTCTGCGGGTGTAGGTTTTTTCGAAAGCATAAATTTGGTAGCCAACTGAGGCCAGAGAATAGTTGATGGGGAGTGTGATTATTGAAATAAAAATGAATAACATCGTACTTGTAATCTTTATTTTTTGGAGGGAGCTTATGTGATTATGTGTGAAAATCTGACATGGTAGAGTTTTTTTGAATTACTGCCTCGTGAGCAAAATTATTTTAAATTGCGAAATTTGACTGAACTTGGCTTTGGGAGAATATTTTACCCTCAGGTTCGTAGAGGATGCCGCGTGCAGGTGTTTAGTCATTTCCCTCTTTTTTGATACCTCACTTTGGTGGGTATTCACAGACAAAAGTTGGCTGCTATATGCAAACGAGAATACTTCAAAGTGGTGGGGAACTATCTTCAACGTCTGGCAGTGGTGACACCTACGAAGCTCCAGCTCTCACTGTAGAGTCTTCAGAGCTGAGATTGAGTAACAGAGTCCTCACTTCCATGAGGATTCCCAATCGCTTCCGCGGTCAGTATCGTCTTCATCTCTCAACACATCCCCTATCATCATCATGAAGTTAACCACGATTAGATCAGATGTTAGGGTTGAAGCCCTACTCATCATCCACCCACTTCTCTTAATCATGGAGGAAAAGCCATCCGATGAGCCTCCGGAGCGTACCCAGCACTCGATACGGGGATGGTGGATTGTATCAAGACGGTCTCGAATGTTACAAAGAAGGAAGATATAGATAGATATGCGCACCTCATGTGGTCCCGGTATCTAGGACTCGCCTGGCCGGGGCTGCACGCATTTTGAGACGTTTTCCCGCGCACGCAGTTTCCATTGCTGCCATTTTTATTTTTTTGGGTAGAAAGTTTCATGGAAAAGGTGGGCAAATTCCACGGGTAAACACTGAGCTGAATGGCTATTCATCACGGGCAATATATAAATGATCTTTCAAGTAACAAAAGAGGCAAAGAGCACTGTACAAAGTGTGGCCTGGGTCAGAGAGGATCCCAATGTTCTAGATAGCCATAGACTCAACTAGCATAACAAACACTGATTCATCACTTTGAGGTGATGATGATGATGATAATAATATGATGTTTTTAATGCATTAGTTGAATCTATGACCCAGGCCACACCTTTTACAGTGCTCTTTGCCTCTTTTGTTACTTGAAAGATCATTTATATATTGCCCGTGATGAATAGCCATTCAGCTCAGTGTTTACCCGTGGAATTTGCCCACCTTTTCCATGAAACTTTCTACCCAAAAAAATAAAAATGGTAGCAATAGAAACTGTGTGCGTGGACGCCTTAGTCCTCTCTTGATTACCTCCGCCTTTTGGTTGAACACGAGTGTGAACCCTTGGTCGTCTATTTATTTTGTCGTTATTGTTGATGTAGATGCCGCTGTTAAAGATTCTGCCGTCCGTTCTATCGGAACATACTGTGCCCGTTGGAAGCTGGCCTTTTGTTCCGCAGAGTTTTAATACGCCCCTTTCTACCACGATTTATGTTCCTTGCCGCAGTTGAAGGAACTGCCCGAGGAAATCGGGCAGTTCCTGGTCTGGCGAGTGCCCACGCATTCACCAAATCTTTCGCCTTATTGAAAAAGGCTTAGATATGCCACCATTGGCAGCACTTGAAGCACTGCTTGATGTGCACTCGGAGTGAATAGAGCTGGGTCGTGTACAGCACTGAGTTGTATACAATGTCATTTCTTATCATTTCGCGTTGAAGTGCCTCGGTCGGCAAACCCGCGATCATTAACCCTCGAGTATCGGCGTTTTTACTCATCCATTGGTGCTCCTTTCTGTCGAAGAGCAATCTCACCCTGTTGATTTTTAGGCCAGGAATCCGATTTTTTTTCGCCATTATTTGATTTATCAGTTGGCCGTTGCCTGAGTTTTTTCCTCTTCGTATGGATTTCTCCAAAGGCACCCCCAAAATCTTAACAGGGTAACCCTGCTTTGTGACGCTGAACTCCTTTGGCTGCGCTACACTTAGGGCATCATCTCGCTGGAATACCGACTGCACAAACACCTCCGTATCGTTATTCAGCAGCTTCCTTACTGTGTAATTGTGCCTTTTCAAGCAGCTTTACCGGCTGCATATTGCCTTCTCCTCGTAACTTATCCATACTGCCACTTTGATCGCTGGCGATGCGATGATCGAAGCGTATGTGGGTCGCCCTTCTATTCCTTGGGTTGCCGAAGCAGTCATCTTGCGCAAAGGCTCCTGGAGATTATTCGTGACTGCCTTTTCAAGGCCAGTATTTGCTATTCCATTTATGAAGCCCTCATCTTCGGTTTTAACATTGTAGCTTGGGCTTTGAAAGCGTCAAGTTCCTCACATATTTCGACCATCAGTGTCGTAGATTTGTCAGTTCCTACTTTCACTATTCTGTTTCTGACCTTGTTTAGAAAAAGCCCTAATGTCTCGAGGTTATCCATGTTAATGCCTGTAAAGTTCGCGAGAGACTCTACAGACGTTATTACGGCGGTTCTGCTGTCCGTTGGTTATGGTGGTGGCGAAGTGAAAATATTTTTTGCCAGAATCCATCTTTCTGGTTCACAAACTCGCCATGCCGAAGCACAACGTGAAAAAAGAGGGGAAAAATATGAGAAGGACTGGTAAAGATGGTAACAAGTATAAAAACGATGAAATAATGATCGTGGAATGTTGTGACGCTTTTGAACAAATGATCATGTATCTTAACATAAACATTAATATACTAAATTTACGTTAACGATATGGAATTTCGTCTCGACCACCAATCAAAGCTGGTGATGTTTGTATAGATCTCCATGTATGGAGATTCTCTGCGAGTAGAGTCGAAGCAGTTGCAAGCTTTACAAAGAACTGACCTTCTCTTTAAGATCTATCAGACCAAGAGCAAAACCCATGACGTCTATATTTCCATATATCGTCTCGTGATTAATGAAATTTATTTTTATCACAATTAACCGTAAATGTAACTCTGAATTACATACCAAGCTGGTAACTGATTCATTTGGCAGCCACATTGCCACGTATTCGTGTAAAAAAGCTTGAGCAACAAGGCATCTAATGGTAGTTTGTATCCTATGTAAAGAAACAAAAAAAATTAATTACATGTAGTTCAAACATTCATGAAGTTTAAACAAATCATTGCTACGGTTCTAGAAATATTCATACTAGTTACCCTTAGTTATAAGGGACTATTCTCAACACCTGTCAGTGGTGTCCCCTACGAACCTCCAGCTCTCACTGTAGAGTCTGCAGAGCCGAGATTGAGTAACACCTTTTCAACTTTGACCTGAGTTATCTCCCCCTCCGTCAAAGATACGCTTCCGATAACACATAAGACGACAAAGGCGACGATAATGATGCTGGGAATGAGGAAAGATAATGCGATATCAAAAGCTACAACGATAGTCAGAGAAGCCCTCGTTCTATTACAACATGTGCTACCCACCGGCGGGCGAACAAAAAGCTCACGAAAGCAAAGTAAAAGACCCTTCCGTCCTCAAGAAAAGCAGATTTCGACTCGTCAAAAATATCGTCCCTACTAATCTCAACTTCGAATCTACTAGCCAGGAGGGCATCTGAAATACATGAGTTACCCGACGACCC